TTTTTTCTTTTGCCTCAAAAAGTGACATTTATTCAAAGGGGGGGGGGAGGAAAAAAAAAAAAAGACAAGATGTCCATCCCTTGGCTCCCTTCCCTCCCCCCTCCTGCTCCAGCCCTCCAGGTTTAAACCCTGGGCCAGGGCTATAGCAGGACAGATGGCCCCTTTCAGATGAGGTCAGCAACATTGAGGGGCATTTCCTCAATGGAGGTGTTATAGAAGGTCTCAATGTCTCGAAGGGTCCTCTTGTCTTCTTCTGTCACCATGTTAATAGCCACACCCTTACGGCCAAAGCGCCCACCACGTCCAATTCTGGAAGACAACAAAGACACCACACCTCAAGTTGAGAAAGGACACAACAAAAAAAAAAATAATCAAGTTTCTGGCCAGGAAGGAAAGAACAGATGAGGTACTTGGATGAGCAGTTCAAATTTATACTTGCCTGTGAATGTAATTTTCCCTGTTGGTGGGAAGGTCATAGTTTATGACTAAAGAAACTTGTTGTACATCAATGCCTCTGGCCTAGAGAAAGAGGACAACATTAGTATATGGCTGGGAAAAGGATACTTATTAAGGAGTTTTGGTATGTGTGTAGGCAGCCAATGGCAGGCAGAAAGGACAAAGTGCCCCCTCTCCAGAAGACCTTGGCTATGCCAGATTGTATTCCAAGTTGCTACTTTCCTGAGAAGGGCACTAAAAGGGCCCTCTGGAGAGGGAATCACCTTGGGTCCTCCCCTGCCCACTATGTTTCCCTCAATTACCAGTAGGTCAGTAGTGATGAGAACTCTGCTGGAGCCAGAACGGAACTCCCTCATGATCACGTCTCGTTCCTTTTGGTCCATATCTCCATGCTACAGTTAAGCAGATAGGGAGGTACATGGATTCACACATCACTAGATTTAAGTGCGACCCCAAACCCAGAAAAAGATGTTGACCTGAGCAACTCACCATGGCAGAGACGGTGAAATCCCGGGCATGCATTTTTTCAGTGAGCCAGTCAACCTTCCTTCGGGTGTTAATGAAGATGACAGCCTGGGTGATCGTTAATGTTTCGTACAAATCACACAGTGTGTCCAGCTTCCACTCCTAGGTTTGGGGGCAGGAAGGGCAAGTCAGTCAGGGGCCATACCCAACACCTTCTAACCAGGCCTACCTCCTGCACTAGGCCCCACCTCACGTTCCACATTGATGTAGAATTGGCGGATACCCTCCAGGGTCAGTTCTTCCTTCTTGACAAGAATCCGAATGGGGTCCCTCATGAACTTCTTGGTCACTTCA